TCCAGACTAGTGAACAGCAGTGGACAGTCCAGACTAGTGAACAGCAGCCATCGTCACACACAGATAAACGACTGGAAGTAGGGCTGGAGCAACGGCACTTGCTGCTCACGGGAGGACCAGGTTCTTGTTCCCAGCACCCACAGAATGGTTCACAACCATCGCTAACCCCGAAACGAGGGACCGGTCCTGTTTCTGACCCTGTGCACCAGGGAACGGGTCCTCTTTCTGACCCTGTGCACCAGGGAAAGGGGCCCTCTTTCAGACCTGTGTGCACCAGGCATGCATGCTGTGCACATACATATGTACATACATTCATACATACATTCAAACAAAACACTCATATCCATGAAATGAAAATTAATAAATCTTAAAAATGAGTCAAAAAAATTACTAAGACTGACTTACCCGATCGGCCTTGAAACAACAAGCTCCACTTGGGGTTCAGGTTTGGACTCTAGGATGATGTTGTAAACGTCCTCAAACGTGGCTCCTTGCAATAGCCTCCCATTCCATTCTAACACTTCATCACCTACGGGGGCAGGAATAATCTCATAACTATAAGCCGAGGCCATCAAATATACACAAAGTAAAAGCACTCATTGGGTTTCAGTCAATCACACCATGCATTCCCCTAGCAAAACAGCGTATGCGCTGAGAATATCTAAAGGGGCCCAGGATTTCCGGCTAGAATAGCATATGTCATCTCACAAGATAAGGGCGTCAGAAGTGCACTACATACAGGCTGTATCCATGTCATTTCCCACTGAGACAATGATCAAGGTCAGCCCTCTTGGAGGACGTCACGCTTCTACTCTAGATTTTAGTATGTACATGGTTAGTTAAGAGCTGTTTACTTTTCAGGAGTTTCAATTGCCTAAACTCTAAAATCTTTTGTAAAAAGCTAACTGATTCATAGTATATGAAATCTTCAAAGAATGCAATGATTTTTGCAATAGAAAGTGGAGGAACTGACCAAATGATATGGTGACAACATAAGTTAGAAATTGGGCATTTATTGATGAAGTTTGTTTACTAAATAATATTGGACTTTTTCAAAAAAAGATTGAAAAATAAAGATTTTGGGAAACAAAATAAGTAAATATTAGGGGCAGACTACAATATCCATTATTTAAATTTAAAATATATGAATTTTGGTGTATAGGGAGTTTGGGAGAAAATCTGGGAGGAGTGGGAAAGAGAGAGAGAGACGAAAATAATCAAAATACATTGTATAAAATTTTGAAAAAAAAATAAAAAGCATTTTTAAAGAATATTTATGTCTAGTATAACAATGAATAAGAGCTTTATTCCATTAATGACTAAAGATTTTAATAGACATGAAAGAAACTAAATATTACTGGTCAAATAACTTATAAGTGAGAATTTTTTAGTAACTGTTCAGGGTTAGAATTTTTCTTTTTGCTGTGGTAGGGATCTAAGCCAAAGGTGTTGCGAGGCCAGGCATCCTCTCAGCCCAGCTGACACTAGCCACGTGACTATCCAGTGGGCGGAACCTACCTGGTCTAAGGTGTCCGACAGTATCAGCTAAGCTTCCTCTTTTCACTTTGGTAATAAACGCACAAAGCCGCCCTGACTCAGTCATCTTTCCTCCCACGACCTGCGTAAAGGAGGAGAGGAGCAAAGCCGTCACACTGTGAAAGTGAGCACAGGTGAAGGCACAAGGAAGAAGACAGAGCAATGACGATTCTAAAACTGGAGTTTAACCTGCTAAATTTCATTTCTTAATATATTATTGCCGCGTCTGCATAAAGGAACATTTTTTATTCCAAATTTATTGTAATTAAGTTTTCTTATTGAAAGCACAAGTATTTTAGATTCAACTCAACTATTTCTTCCTTACTATAGAATTCTCATTTTTATTTCTCATTTTTAAACTATATAAACATTTTAAGTATAAATTTCAAATATTCTAATATAAAAGTATTCATTACTTTTACTATATGATGAAAGAATGCTGTATTTTATTAATAATGTTTTAGTCATATTGATAATATCCACAATGTCAATAGATCTTCCTTAAGAAAATTGTAAAATTTAATTAACTTCATCAGAAATAATACAAACTTCAAATTATTTGGAGCCCAATTTTCCAATGTTTTAATTTCTATTAAAATACTTATTTTAGAAAAAAATACACATTGGGAACAAGCATTAGGAATGCTACAAAATCATAGTAAAATACGATGCTCCTGCAAAATCAATGTTGGGATTCTGGTTAATCACTACTTCTCAAAGCAGCGGCAGCAAAGTCTAGGGACTATACTCATTAGCTGGAGTAAACTGTTTGGCTCTTAGAACGTGAGCAAAAGATAACCGAAATTAAACCTGCTGACCTACCTCATCTTATTTTCCATGCATATATTTCCTAATTGTGGTGAGTTATACTCAGTAATGTAAATTCTTAAGGCTTCACATTTTCATGCAAATATTTTAAGAAAATTGTTGTTGCTTCAGAATATTTAAGAGCATTATCACAGTTACGTTTAGTATAATTCTACTGTCGGTGGCGGTTAGTACACAATGGAGATAATAAGCCAGGCACTGCACTCAATACTGTTCCCTTTATCCCCCTCTAACCTCTCAAAGGACGAGCTGCAGCCTCCACTGTGTAGGCAATGCCTCATCTCCCAGATACCTCCGCTCTGGCCATGCTTTCTCTCACACCGACAATAACCCTCCTCCACCATTAAAACAAATAAAAGAGTAACTACTCTAATGGAAATCAAGCCCAAGTCTCCTAATCTCTGTATCAGCTGCTTGTCACAGCATTCTGAGTTTAAGTCCCACCATTGCCACCATCTCTCCGGGACCTCTATGACTTCTGATGACGAGAGGCATGACATAATCAGGTAAGTGTCAAGCACACTGTCACCCTCCAGTCACACCACACCAACGATTTTTTAATACCTACCATTTACTATATTCTAGAGTATAATTTCTATAACAATGGCTAAACTCTGAAACATTTCCTCTTTTTGATTTCAGTTTTTCATTAGCTATATTAGATATACAAAAGCTAAATGCCCTCTATTTTGCATATTTGACAAATGCTGTTCTATGACTTTACAGTTTAAATACAAACATTAATATTTTTGTCACCTAGCCAGGTGGTGGTGGCACATGCCTTCAATTCCAGCACTTGGGAGGCAGAAGCTGGCAGATCTCTGTGAGTTCAAGGTCAGCCTGGTCTAGGGTGTGAGCCAGGACAGCCAGGACTGTTTCACAGAGAAACCCTGTCTCGAAAGGCAGGCACCGGACAGAATATGTAGAGGTTTCCGGGTTTCCGATGGCATATTTGAGGTTAATACAACTCAGCTGTAGAGTGTCTGACTCTCATTCATAAGCGCTTCAGTTTGACCCTGACACCACAAACCAGCTTTCTCTAAAACACAATCTACAAGTACAAACACAATTTACTACATCAACATCAAATTATATTTTGATATTAACACATATATTATATTTTTAAGTTTGTATAATAAAAAATTAAAGTGATTACTTTAATACTGACATAAATATAGGCAAGATAAAGAGTTTTTTGTATTTTAAGTTACATATTATTATTGAAAGGAAATTTATAATTAAGAAAATTTTTATTCAGTACCTATTCTGCAACAAACAACAACAATTGCAACAATAAAAACATTACATTAGGAACAGCAGAGAAATGGAAAGAATGCCCAGAACTGGTCATAGTTTAAGCTCAAGTACATTCATTGTGTTTAGGATTCAAACTATTTTCTAACCAGGTTACTATCAATGTCTTTTAAAAATGTATATAAAACTAATATTATGGCTATCAGAGATTTATTATGTGCACATATGTGTGTGTGTTTGCAGGTGTACATGTATGCATAAGCATGTGCATGAATATGTGTGTCTGCAGGTAAATATATATATAAGTGTGCAAAGATGTGTGAGTTTGCATATGCGCATGAGTGTATCTAGATGTGTGTATCTGCAGGCATACATGTGCATGAGTGTATCTGGATATATTGTCTATCTGCAGGTATACATTCTTATGAGTGTGTCTGAGTATGTGTATCTGCAGGTATACACATGCATGAATGTGTGTAGATGTGTGTATCTGCAGGTATACATGTGTATGAGCGTATCTGGATATGATGTGTATCTGGAGGTATACAGGCGCATGAATGTGTCTGGATATGTGTGTTTTCAGGTGTACCTATGTAATGTATGCATAGATTTGTCTGTGTTTGTAGAGGTACATGTATGTGCATGAGTGTGCACGGATGTTTGCAGTTTGTAGGCGCACATGTGTATAGTGTGAATGATGTATGTGTTTGCAGCCGTACATGTCTATGAGTGTGCAAGGGTGTGCATGCATTTGCATAAAGGTCAGAGATCACCTTTAGTGTCTGTCCTTCTTCACTGCCCACCTGAAATTTGCCGAGTAGGTGAGTCTGGCAAGGCAGGAAGAACAAGAGATCTGCGTCTGCCCTCAGCATCAGATTACAAGGGTGCGCCACCATGCCTGGCTTTGGGTGTGGGCTCTAGGGACAGGAGTCTGGGCCTCTTCCTCACAGGCAATCACTTTACCTCCTGACACACATCTACCTTGGGAACTTCTTTAAAATACTTCGAAAATGAATTCAAAGGAATGAACGACAGTATTTTTAAATTCTTGAAAATGGAAATGAGATAACCCCTAACTTGGCACAGGTGGAAAGAGCTCTATTTGCATTATTGATTGATCTGTAAAGGGAGACAGAGCCAAATTCCATAAGGTTTATTACGTACCTTTAAGCCCAGCATTGCTCCTGAATCTCGAGGTACACTCCCATCTTTCAAACGCTTATTTAATAAAATACGACCAATTAAGCGATCTCCATCTTTGGATGGCTGCCAGGTCACAGGGTGCTGACATACAACATCAACAAATAAGAAAAATTAATTTTATGTCAAATTACCATGATTGTTCAGTATCACTAAACTCCAGAATTCTAAAGTATTATGATTACACAAACCAGTTTATATTCCAAATTACTGACCTAGACACTGTAGTAAACCCCAGTTTTGTGAATTCAAGGGTTTCTTTTAAATCCAATTATAAAAATTCCTGTTATCATCTACCACAATACTAAGGGATAATAGCTCTGAAATTTTCTTTAAAATATATGCTAACTCAACTTGCTGAAGATTAATTAAAACCTCACAGGCAGAAAATGCACAGTAAAAATCTACTTAATTGGCTTCACTAAAAAGTGACAATTTCTTCTTCAAGCACTTTTTGGATTTTTAAAAATACTCTTCCTTAGCAAAAGCTAGAAAGGAAAACTATTAAAACATACAATCTAAACTTATAATGAACATTACAGCTATAATTCCAAAACTATGTAACCCCCAATACCTGCCCTACTGAGCCTGCATGAAAGAAACAGGAGCCACTGAAAAATCAACAGATTATGATTCTCACTTCACAAAAATTCATCGATTTTTTTTTTAATGGGCTTTTGCTACATAACCCAGCCTTGCCTAGAACTCACTATGTAGCTTCAGTTGGCCTTGATATTACCATGTAGCCTATGCTGGTCTCTCAATCTTATGATTTCCCTGGCTCAAGCTCAGCTTCTACAATGCTGGCATTAAGGACACGGGCCACCACACCTGGCAAAAACTTTATTGGTTGTTTTAGACCTTTTGATGTGTTCAGTAAATTTCTTTTAAGATATCATTCAAAGATGATTATTGTTAAATAACAATCATATTACCGGCCTATTTCTTTCTTAGGTTTAGAATTATGGCTTTATAAGTGATGAATCGTTTTATTATAAACAATTTGTTAGGCAACAAAATAAATGATTTGTGTAATCATAGTAATTGCATGGTTGCCTAAAAGCAGCATGAGAAACTCCATGCAAAATATAGCAGGCGAAAGACAAGTTCCAGGCAATCACATCTATAGGGTGAAGGATTAAAACAATGCTATACTAAAAGCAAATAAAACAATAAATATCAAAGCAGATGGCAATGAATCTAATACTAATTGATGCTCCATTAGAACGCTATGGCAACAAGAGAACGAAAGACAGCGAAGGGGAAAAAAGAAAAACAACTCCTTCTGAGCAAACAGAGCCGGTCATCTCCCTTTCACCTGGGATGCACACTATTCACAATTTGATTTTCATCCCAAGGAAAATACAGATTAACATTAAAATAAGCCAATCCAAAAATATTTATTTATTGTTTATAACATTCCAAAGTTCTCTCATTCGACTGCACACCAAACATTCCTTTGTTCCTAGGTTTTATTTTCATTAACTTAGATTTTGGTATGCTGCTGACCAAGGAGAACAGCCAAGCAAGCAAAAGGCTTTTTGGCTTAGTGGTTTGGTTGTTTTGTTTTTCTTTTCTGCACCTTAGGAAATGCTACATTGACCTTGAAATGCCCTGTCCTTCCATTACGTCCTGTTTCAATGAGTGACAGAGAGCAAACGAAGGAAGACCGAATGAGCAGGCTGAAGGGGGCCGCAGTCTCAGTACCTTCTCACTATGGCTATGGTCCTCGTTAAGAGTGGTGCTACTACAGGTATCTACCCCAGAGTCCTTAATCTGGGGCTCGGACCATTCCAAATCCTCTTCCAAAGAGTGGCCACCACAGTACATGATTTTCTTTTGTCTCTCAGACCTGGTGTTAGAATCCGACAAAACTCCCTGCTCGCTAGTTTTTCTTTTTCCCTTTTGACTGTCCCCTACAAGTGTGAGATAAAACAAAACAAAACAAAGATACAAAAAAGAAAACATGCAGAGGTGTAAATAAAAAAGGAAAAGTGAAATGATAACGGAAATTAAATAGTAAGGCTCCACAAGTCTCACCAAAGACATTGGGGAAGCCTCACTGCTATGCCAAGACGCATGATCCACCCAGCTGTAATCCATGTCCCCTGTGGCGCCAGGCAGACAGGAGTGCGATAGGAGACAACGGGAAAGGACAGACAGAAATTATAAACATGTCAGACTCTGGGATCCTGATGCTTTCAAGACTTCATCTGTCCTACTCATTAGATACCAGGAAAAAGCTATGATTCCAAATAAAATTCATAAAATGCAAAATATAAGGCTTCTGCAGTCCAGACAGATCTCAGAACAGAAGCCTTGCACTAATTATTTAAAAACAGAATACCTTTGCTATCAAGAAGCAAAAGTAGAAGAAAAAACTATTGAAAAGCCAATTAAGACAAAGGTTGGTCAGCTATGTCTGGATTTGAGCTCATTTATTTTTGCATGCTGGTCTAAAGCCATGAGTTTTTTCTCAAGACTGTTGAATGTTTATAAATTAAACAGAGGCTTAGCAATAATATTATTTTAAATTCAAATAATTAAGTATTGCTCCAGGAATGACATATGATAATCTTTATAATGATGGAAACTCCTCAACATTTTAAGTGGTTAAAAAAATAGTTACACAACAAATTTTCTGTGAAAATGATTTTTAAAAAGTTTCATTCTATATTTATCAGTAGAAAGGAAAGGTGAAATCATAAATTTTACTTATATAACATAACTTACTTAGTATTACACTAAAACAACTTATCTTTTGAGAAATTACATTGTTACAGTTTTGATAGACAATTCGCATGATGACAACTTATGATAGGAATCGGTTTCCCAATCATAGCGTGTTTATTTTCTTCCTATTTCAGAAGAGGTTTCTTCTCAGTGTACATACACACAGACACATCTGAAACATATCAGTATTTTCGCTCACTTTGAAAACACTTACTGAACACCTCCCTTCTGTTCTATTGTGCTAAGCCCTAAGGTAAGGGGTAACCCAATGAGACAGGCTTGTGACTGTGGGGAGGGGCACAGCAGATGAGCCTGTCACAGGAGAGCACAGTCTTCGGAGAGCGTCCGAACTCCCCGGACCCCTCTGAAGTAACTATGTGTAGGGTGGAGACTGGAAGATGTGATTTAGCGGACAAGTAAAGAGACAGACGAATGGAAAGGAAAAGAAAGAACATTCCAGTAAGAATTATTAACACCGTACTACAAAAATTTAAAAAAAAGGGGTGCCGGGCACCTAAAGGAATGAGGGGACGCAGTGGTAAGCAAGAATGGTGGCTGAGCACAGCCCAGCTTCAGTGAGTTTTCCTATGCCACAGTAAAGGTCACCTTCTCAGACACCAGGACAGAATCTGACCTATGCCTTCAAAGGCTGAATCTAAATTCTATAGAGACCAGGTTAAAATAAACTAAAATTGAAAGGTGTCTGCAACAATCTCTGGGAAAGATAGAGGTGAGTATAACCTACACAAAGGTAATTACAATAGCTATCACAAGTAAAAGAGCTGAGAATTTTTGGTATCAAGAAAGACTGGAAAGTCAAGGCTAGCATCCAGTTTTCTAGTCAAAACAACGAAACAAAGAAAAAGGTAAGTCTGAGATGACAAAACCATAGCAGAATGCTTTTGTCAGAGAAGATATAGCAGTCATCTGGCAATAAAATTCATACTTCAAAATAGCAAATGATTTTTTTAAAACATCTTAGAAGTTATTAAACAATAGATGGCCTTGATCTAGGACTTGAATGGTCTATAAGTTATTCAAATGGGTATATCAGCAAAAAAAAGATGTTAAAAGTCCTTAAAATGGTAACAACAGAATCTCAAAAAATGTTAGGAATGCATGCATCGCATACCACTCTAGATCCAGATAATCAAAAAGAATTGGCGGAGCCCAGCAATCTGTTTTAACAGGACTTCAGGCAATTAGGATGTCATATAGAAGTGTCTCCTGTCACAGTAACATGAGGCTGTCGTCCACAAAAGTGTCAGGCCACATTCCAGTGTTCAGAGGACTTGGACAAGTGCAGTCCAGAGACTGGAGACAATATCTTTAAAACTTTGTTTATGAAAACAAATTGTGTGTATGATCTAATACACACAAGATAAAATGTACAGGAAGAACTTCATTCTTTACCCATGGGTCAGAAAGGTGTTTCTTGAACAATGTTACCACACAGATAAGAAATTAGAATGGCAGTAGTACACACCAGCAGACGGAGGGGACCAGCCCATTGCAGACTTATCCCCCTGCTTGGGACTACTCAACAGCCTCAGAGTCTTTATATCTTAGGAAACCTCTTGCCTTCTCAAAACATACTATAGTTCCATACAAAAACATTTCTATGTTTCTCAATTAAAGGAGATAAATTGTAGGAAACCTCTAAATGAAGAGTCCTGAGTGTTTGAATGAAGGCTAATGAATCATTCAGTTCACAATCTCTCAGCTTCCCTGATTCAAGACTGCACAAAGGTCAGAAGTGTGGCCCTGAACTCTATAAGCAAAGTAGTTTAGCACTTTAAAACATCTGAAACCAAAGTAAAAATTCCTCCTATTAATGAAAAAGGGGGGCTAAAATATCATCTTCATGGCACTGAACAGCACTTGTTAAAGGAGTAAAAACAAGCGCTATTTTGAAAATTAAATAAAATAATGATCATCAAGCACATAGAAAACTAGATCTTAAACTATCACAAATAGCAGTGTGTAGACATTAACTGTCACTATTTAATATTAATTCTTGTATGACTTCAAAGGGCAAAACTAAAATAATAAAATATCATCTGGTAAAGCTACAAAACCCAATTCATGGATCTAGAGCAAGAATTGTTAGAAGATACAAAATAACCAAGTGGAAAATGTATAACTAGAAACCCGTGCAATGTAGCAAAGTGAACAGGCTCCACTGAATGTAGGGAGGACAGAGCAATGACCAAGTGAACCAGACTAAAGGATTCAAAGACTGAGAGATGGTAACAAATGATCCTCATTCTCCTTACTGGATGAGAAGAAAAACGAGTAAGCTGAAAAAGTATTCCCAGATAGAAGCTGAAAATTTCCTAAACTATAAAAATGGGAGCCTACAGATTCAAAATGTTATGTGTGTCTTTAAATTAGAAGAACACAAAAAACCCACACAAAGATATAGCCTAAAAATTAAAACTAAAGATTGTAACACAAAAAAATATGAAAAGGTGGAAAGAGTCCATTCAGTGACAGCAAAAGCTGCATCAGAACTGGGCAGGGGACAGTGGGTGGCACAATGTTTTAAACTGCCAAGAAATGCCAACCTAGATTCTAAATATGATGAAATTATCTTTCAAGAATGAAAAACGCTCTCAGGTAAAAGAAGGCTAACTGAGTTTTTCACCAGCAGACATATTATGAAGAAAAAAGCTACATGAAGCAGGGCTAAGAGATATGGAAAGCCAAGGAGCCTGAAAACATAAAAAAGAATGAGAAACAAGGAAAGTAAAAATATGGATAAATACAGTAGAATTTTGTTCCCCGACTTTTCTAAATTATTTAAGATACTTGAAGTGCAAAGTATATAATGCCAACTTTTGGCTTTCAACAGACAAACAAGGGTATATAAGAGGGGAGAAAACTGAACATAAAAGCAAAGGGTTCTCTAGTTACCTCTAAGTGGCTAACTATGCCTGCTGGTAGTATGCAAAATGTACACAAAATATATTACATTATCTAGAACAATCCATAGAAACTATAAAAGAAAAACAATAAAAAAAACAAAAATGTTCAAACAACTCAAGGGAATACGAATAAAAGAAATAAGAAACCAAAAAAGAAAGAAGGGAGGGAAGGAGGAGGGAGGAAGAAAGGGAGAAAAGAGAGGAAGGAAAAAAAGGAAGGAAGGAAGGAAGGAAGGAAGGAAGGAAGGAAGGAAGGAAGG